TGTACGCACGTGTATTGAGAGAGAGAACATGCATGGACAGTCCTCGACACCAGATAAAGCCACTCGGGTGAGAAAACAGTGCAAATAAATACTTAAAATATCAATTAAGATGTCTCTTTCAAATGGCCTAACATACTCAATTCAAACCTATTTTTATCGAGAATCTTAAACAGATAGCAGAGGTTATCATGGAATTTGAATTCAAAGACATTTTCTCTCTCTGCTCTTGCCAGTTTTAGACATCATCCATTTGTCACCAAAGATAAACAAACACTTCTTGACTTATGGGCCTTTTTTTAGTCATTATGTACTCTATTGTACAGCACAGACTTTCCTTCTTCTCACACACGAGATGATAAAACTATATTCCCAAAATACCATGGATTAATTCTTTCAAACAAGACCTCTATCCTCCTTCTCCAGGCAAAACGTCCTTGAAAATTTTATATGGTGTAAAATCTAGGTTCATACATGAACAAATCTACAAGGTGTCATCACACAATCTCGAAGTGAAGAACTAAGAGCCTGGAAACATTTAGGTGGGCAATAAAGGACCTTAGTCCTCCCTCTCAAGCTTTCTTTGGCAGTTCTCACTAAAAGCCACGAAGACAGTCTTGTTGTGCCAACCGTCTGGAAACTCAATGCAAGATTCTTTTACGTTCATTCCCCGCTCCAGGGACTATTCCTTTTGAAGTATTCAAAGTTTGACATTTTGCTGCAGCTGTGGGAAAAGGGAAGATTTCCTTCCACACGTATAGGTCTCGCCAGGGCATCTTCAATAAAGAGGTGAAACGTATAGCAGTGACAATCATAAAACATGGACCTTACTTTCAATGAATATTGCAACTGCTTTCTCTTGTTTTGTAAAACATGGAGACTGAAGTTACACTTAAGTTCAACCTCATCCAACACCCACCGCTAGCTGCCAATACAGATTTTGCATGCAACTGTAATCTCTTTGCTTAAGATCAACTGCAGATCTCACAACGGATGGGATCTACTAGTTAAGTAGTTTAACCAAAAAAAACTTGCAAACTTTTAAAGAGATGCACCCGCAGAATATTTTATTGCTTGGCAGACTTCTCTGAGAGTCAGCGAGATGTCCAGAGCAAAACATCAACCTTACGCTTTTCTGACTCTATGTTCTTCAAATTCTTTTCTCTTCTGCTCCATTTTTAATGTGTAGTCTCTATTTAGACTTGAAAATTCGTTAGGCATACTTCCACCATATGGCTCCTCTCTACCACTGTCCTCCATTTTGTACTAATTTGTGAGCAGATAATTTAATTAGGCAGTGGTACACCTTTCTGGAGTGTTAGCTTCCACAGCAGATCAGTGACTTCAGAGTACTTGTTAAAAAAATTATAGCTTTCCACTGTTAAAATAAAACATTCTTTAAAAGGCAACAATAGAGTTTTTAAAAATTATAATGACATTTATAACAAGTATCGTAAAACACACCGCCTCTCTACCTAAAAGTTCTGTTTGGGTTCTTTCTTTTTAAACTATACTCAGGGGCATGTTTGCAAAACGTGCTCAAAAAAAATGAGAGAGACTCTTAACAAACAGAATTCTGAAGCTAACACTTGGGCACACCATCACACATGGCCCCAGTAGCAAGTGATGAAAATACACTATTGTATTGCTTTCTGATCCTTGGGAGAGGTTTGTTTAGGTCAAGTGCAATACCAGTTCAAATCCAGCACCACTGAGATCACTATTAAAGCCTTCAATTTCACAAGCATTTTTAGATGGCATTCTGACAGCTCATCCCAAAATAGGGGGGAGTTCCTAGCCACTGTTTTCCTTTTCCAGTCTTTTCAAAGTCTTCATTGAATGTTCAGCGGGAAAAAAAGTTCAGACTCGCTGCTCAGCGACATCTGTATCATTCCAATCACTGTGGAATCTGTAAGCTTAGCTTTCTCCCAATTAACGAGCACACGTATGTTTGAGAGATCTTATTCTACAAGGCACAGATCCAGGCCAAACAAAAATGCTCTTTCTAAACAAAAGTTTGCATGATGAAAACCAGCTCCTTCTTTGCTTACCTGCCATTTTGTTTTTGAAATATATTAATCGAATCGTCTCCAGTCCCAAAAGGTTTAGTGATCCTTCTGTATTCAAGGGTCGTACCTGAAATGATGTAAATCGTTCTTTTAAAAATAATTCATGTTACACATCTCTCTCGATATAGATACAGGTAGTGCAGCTCTTTCTGAAAGATATAGGGAGCATTATAGGCTTCATAAAAGGAGCACTGAGACAAAGCCAACTAGGAGGCAGACCAGGGCAATTAGGCAGTGTGAAGTCCACTCCAGAAAAGAACTGTAGGTTGCAGGAAGCAATGCCTCATCTCTTCAGTGACCCATGACTGCTCTCAAGAAGAATAACGGTGAGTCATTAAAGCCAGAATGCAGAGGCAAGGACAATTTCAAATTTAAACTTCTGATTCAATAATCTGTACAAAAAGATCTGCCAAAAATTCCAGTTATTTAAAGACAGAAGATTAATCCTCACTCCTCCCAGTATTTAAATAATACCGTAAGAAGTCTGCTTCATGTAACAATTCTATTTCGTCTATTAGATACACAGAGCACTAAGTTGTGCTTTTATTTGGTGCTAGTATCATGTTACAGTCACGCTTTGCACCTTGATCACGTATATACAGATTGTTACAACATACTCATCTTTGTGATTTTAAATTTCTACAGGAAACAACCATTTCACATTCCGGGCAGTCTGCAAATTCTGCTAGAAACAAACCCTTCATAATAAATTGCCATCTTTGAGTCTCTTACAATTAGCAGCTCTTGTTTGAAGTAGTAATAAATGTAATGAATGACTACCCATTCACTATGCAGGTAGTCTCGAGTCAAACATTAAGCAAAGTACTAAATCACAATCTGATGTGTAGGAAAAAAATGCTCCAACTGCTTAATAACTCAAATTTTTGCAAGGAATAAATTCTTCACTAGCTTTTAAAGCTTCATTGGTAGGACACAGTTTACTACCTTAACTAGGTACTGGTGTTCTTAAAACTAAGGCCAGATACTTTTTGTCTCCTTAAGACGGCTTAATAGCTGAGTACCTCAGCCTTTGCATTATTTATCTTTACAGCATTGCCATATGGTGGCACAATATCCCTTCTGCAGGAAACCGATATGCAGAGAGACTGACTAACACAAGAAGACAGAGAAGATTTCTTACAGTTCTATGTCATTAGAATGCCAATGAAAGGAATTACATTAAAACTAATACAAAGTTGAAAGAGGCCTAAATTATGAAAAAAATTTTTTTTTTTTTTTGAATACAGCCAGCAAATATCTCCTAAATACCATGGAAAGTGGTGGTTTTCAAAAAATTCCTTTTCGGTGACACAAATCTGACACCATTTTGGCGTATGTTTGTACCGGATGAACCAAAAATTATTTAATCCTACCTGCTTGTTTACAATGTTCTCGAGCAGCAGAAGATAGGTTTTTGAAGGCATTTTAAAATATCTTAGCATCCATCATTTTTTGGCAACAACAGAGATACAATCAGTTTCAATGAAACCATATGCAATACATACCGAGGAACTACTCCCTGCAATAATATCAGTAAGTCTAAAATATTCATATGTTCCAGATTTACCTTTCATCTACAATACTGAAACTATGCCCAAAACACACATTTCGTATCTTATATTTCAAACCAAAAGCCTTGGTTTTCCTTGCAGTAGCTCTTCTTTTAGTTCAAGTATGATTAAACAAGCAGCTTTACCGATGACTTCTAACGTGCTTAAAAAACCCTGTCCGACTGCAGTAAAGCCATATTGACATAATGTCATATTCTTTAACTGCTTGATATCAACAGCAAATTACCTTTTTGAGTGGAATAGTCTGAATCCAATCCATGGAGTTCACGTCAAAGATGTCAACTGCATTTTCACTGTATACAGAGAGGTATGGTGCATTGTAACCTGAGAAGGAAGGATTAGGTATATCGTTATGCGCTTTTAGACAGGGTTCATAATATATAATTTCTTATGTGTGCTTAAAGGTATCGATTAAAAAACACAATCCAACAACAATTTTGGTTTGCAAAATGTGTTTTAACTCAACATATTAGCATAAAATTTATTCTGAACGCAAATCACCAGCAACAAAAAAACTGAAACCTCCACATAATTTTCCTTTTGAATTTGCAGAGCCAATCTACTTTTTGAAGTATAAGGGATTGGAATTTACTCTACCAAACACAGATGTAGTCCAAAAATTCTCTTCCTCTAAAAGCCCTATTTTTATTTTGCAAATGATGCGGTGGGAAAATATATCACTGTTGCGCAATAACTGTCATTTCACCAAACTCAGCTCCTAGCTTTTAGACTACGCACTAAATGAACCTCAGCTGGAACTAAGTGCCCTGACATAGTCAAGACAGGCTTGGTATTTTCTTCTAGTTTTAATTCTCTTCCCTTATTTTCCTGATTGTAAAGGGAAATCGGTGCTACTCATCTGGTACATCTCCCCAACATGGAGTTTGTTCCACCAGGACACTTCTGAAGGAGAATTTTGTACTTCCACATCTGCAACAAGACTGCCACGGTCTATCAAGACTAATAAAAGCATCAAATTTGTGTTTAAACGTGACAGCTCTGCTATAAAGTACAAATCTGCTCAGAAGCGGAACGATAACCTCAAGCCACTTCACTAAGGCAATCGAAAACTTTCCACAGATGGCAATGACCAGTACAGGTGGCCTCCATGTGAAAATACCCGGTCTTCAATCTATCCCACAATCTTTTATTTTCATCTATTCATTCTCCAAGTCTCGACACTGTAATAATCACACTCTTGGTTGGAAACTAGAAGAGACTGTCTGTAAAAGTTGCTCCTTCCACATTCAGAAGGGGCTTCACTCACACAAGTCCTCTCCTTCACAGTCGGACTGTATCGCTGTCACAGTGAAGTAAGAAGTCAGACCATTTTGAAAATCAATATATTTTCAATACTGCCTATCACACTTCATCTTGTATTTGGAAAGGAGAGAGGCAGGGTGGAAAAGAGAGGTAAGAGAGGGAAAACTTAAAAACTGACTTTAAAAAAAAAGAACAGAAGAAGAGAGGAGATAAACGAGAAAAGAGCAGACAGAAAAACGCTGAAGAAGAGAGAATGTATAAGTAAGGAAAAAAAGGGAACCAAAAAAAAACAGTGAACAGGATAAACACCATAAGGGAAGACAAGTCAAGTACCAGATCCTGATGATTCTGAACATCACGAATGTTTGAATCACAACGATGACCTAAAGTACAGTCAAATTTTAAGGCTCTGAATGCCAACAGTTTAGTTCCAGTGGTTCTGAATGCATAAAAAGATCCCTTTAGCTCTGTAGGACCTGAGGACTTTCGGCTGATTTAGAGATCAGCTCACGTGTTTAGGCATTTAATACGAGGTAACCACGTTTCAAATCCTGACCCTTGACTCTTCTTTAAGTTAGAGCAGTATAGGTCAGTTACAGAGCTGTCAAAACTAGCATCAGTGAGACCAGAACCAAACCCTCTGACCAGATTTTAAGATGCTGACAGAAGTTGAGAGACTTCATTTATCTGTCAGGTAATTTTGCTTGAATTTCACATCAGATGGCAAGTCGCATCAAATGGGGATATTAATACAAGTGGTGGTCATTTCAATGTATGATAGCAAGTATACACAGAGAACAACTTACAGCAAGAAGATGGAGTTGCGGGCCACATCAGTTCTTGTTGTCTAGATCTTCGGCCCTGGCAGTCAACGTAAACCCCTACGCTGCTAAAACACAGCAGGTATTCTTTATTTGAGATTTCGACTGCGCAGATGGCATCAGTTGGCTGCTGTGAGATAAATGATAGTGTGTGGTCATCTGGATGGAGCAGACTGTATGGGCTACCTTCTCCATGAAGGGGATATTTTAAGAAACCTGACTGGTAGCCCACACAGAGACGCTCACTGAAGACTGACATCCACTGGACATTCCCCTGGACTTGGATCTCCTTGATCTTTTTGTGACGTGTCTTACTCTGATTCAGTTCATAACAGAGGACCTGCCTTTTCATAGCTACACATAGGCAAGTAAGGGCTCCATGGCGCACATGTCCAGAAACTACAGACTGGCAGCCTTTTGTTTCTGCCAACTTATAAAACTCAGTCTCCCTTCCATCCAGGGCAGCCATAGGGAAAAGCCGCACGTGACGGTTTCGTCCTGAGATCACTGCAATGAGCTGTTCATTTGGGATAAGCTCAATCTGATGAACCTTCTTATTGTCACCAACACGAATAATCTCTAAAAACAGAACAAAACAAAACCCCAAATCTAAATAAACAATGTTAAAGTGTAAATTGGTTAAAAATATATGTATTTGCAAAGGACTAAGCTATAACTCAAACCCAAGAAATTCCCTCTATTGCTTCCTTGTGATATCAAAGAATACAGAGTCAAAACTTGTGTGTTGAATAGTATTAAATGCGGTGATGCTGGACAGACCTTTGGCATTTCCCCGTCAGAAAAAGGGAGGAGTAGATTCTACGCAATGAAACTGCAGTATTATTTCAGTATTCATTTCAAAGGCTGTTTATAGCCAGAAAAATTACTGAATAACGAAAAAAAAACCCCTGCAATTAAACCCACTGCTTGTTGAATTAGCTTTAGCATCTGTTATTACGTCTCTTAACTTTACTGAACGTAAGCTCCCATCTCCAGTGCCAAGGGGGAGGTTACTGAGAAGATGAAGTATACTCCCTACTGAGGTAGACAGCAGGAGAATAAGAGACAATAATAATGAATTGAAAAAGGAGAGGTTCCACCTGGATATAGGGAAGAAAATGTTTTGCTGTGAGTCTAACTAAATATTGGAACAGGCTGCCCAGAGATGTTCTGGCATCTCTGTCATTGGATATTTTCAAGGCTCGACTGGACAAAGCCCTTGGCCACCCGGTCTAAATTCACTATTGACCCTGCTTCAAAAAAACGAATAAAATCTTCAGCTGCATTCCAGATGCTGGATCTTTGTTACTGGAAACGATACACAAAACAGAAAGCACACAGAACGGCTTGGTTTTCAGCTCTTATACGGGGCTGTCCAGCTGATAACCTTTCATATTGTAAATTGAGAAAAATGAAACCAGAGGATACGGAAAGAGAACAAAGCTTACAAAATCACTGTCTGAATACGTAACGATACTTTCGTAATATTACGATAATTACTACCAGTTCTTGATTTCTTACCGTCTTTGGTGACGTGCACAACAAATAACCCTTCTTCATTGCCCAGAGCTATTCTTTCATGGTCTGTGATATTAAAGAAAAATAAAGGTTATCTTTCTTCAGAAATACTTCAACACAAGTGATAATTCTGATTAAGAGAGATAGTTCTTTAATATCTTGAGATAAACAAATATAAAGCCAAACAAAACACATTCATGTAACAGAAAAAACATTAGTAATCTCCCCAATATTTTTCAAATTTCTCAAAGAAAAGTCTTTTCCCATTTCTCACATTTGTTGAAATAACACGAAGAAACTTTATTTTAACAAACCACTCAGGGCACTTACGTGTATCACTGGCTTTGCAGTCAACAACTGTAACATCACATTTAAATAATCTGAGTATAACAAAACTTGCACAGTAGCATTTAAAAGGACTGATTTGGCTCTCTGCTCTCTAATTTTCTCTCTGGCCCCACAAGCAGATTTTTGTAAAGCCAGTGATTCAAATCTAGTCTATAGCGCTAATTTTGCCTAGTTAAGGAAGTATATTTACAGAATACCAGAAGAGTCATATCCAGCTGTCAGTCAAAAATGATCGATAATTATAGGCGTGTGCGTAGGGGGAAGTTCCTTACAGATCTGACAGAGGCACAGCACAGTGAACGTTTCTGTCATAAGCCCATAAATATGGGATGAAAAACACTAAATATTATTTGTTCAGGAGATAACGTCATTTACTATGTTTTTGGCTCAAAAAGCATGCTTTCAGCATACCTGTTGAAGAGGCAATCATGGATCAACTACGTTAGTCTGCTTTATTCAGGTAAAATGAGAATCTCTAATAAGAGATTCTTCCAAGAGCATTCTTCCTACTCATTTCGTACCTATGATTGCTGCTGACTGCGTTGTTTTGATGAGGGGTAAGGTGCTGTCATAAGCCTCTTTTGGAACATAGACTGAACGGTCTTTGAGTTTGTTTTTCTTCAAGATCCTATGCAATTCATTCAAGACTCCTACCCACTTGCTTTTTTCATTCTCACCGTCTGCTAGAATCAGGATTGAACACTTATTACTGGACGCAGAGAGCTGGGATGCTGTGACCTGAAAAATTTTAAATACATAATTTAAGCCATAAGTGATAAAAAAAAAAATTTCATCATGATCACTGATATGAGGATATTAGATGCCCGTAAAGGCTGTTTTACTTAGCTGTCTGTACTGAGAATGCAAGAATTTACCCTTAGTTAATAGGAAACTCTAACATAATCCAGAATCCACAGCAGAAAATACTACAGACTATGACTAACTCAGCAAAATATGAGAAAACTTCAATTTCATTCTAAACGCATTTGTATTTACTCTAAAATCTCCACCCTCTATTTACGAGGCATCTGTTCTTCACAGCAATTTTTAAACGTTTGTTACAAAATATTTTCCATTTTTGAAGACCAATAATTCTTGTTAATAATTTAATGAAATGGGAAGGGTATTTATGAAAGAATGATCTACGACCCTTTTCACGCATTTGGTACAGCTACTACAGATTATAGTGAAAGCCCCCTTCCAGGTTTGCCTCCTTTTAACGTGCAGAATGATGAACGGTGGAAAAGTAGTGGAAAAACAAGGAGTGAAAAGCAACGGTATAGTAAAGAAACGATGGAGGGATTAATAAAACCAACACCAAAGATATTTCAGTGAGGTCAAGGCTTCAATGAAACGTCTACTAAAAGTAAGAGTAATATTAGCAAAAGCCAATGACAACAACATTCTGAGATCAGGTCTCTGATATAAATGTTTTACCAAATATTTTTGTACTAGATTCCTATACTAACTACCTGATGAATGGCAGTTTTTAAAAGATCCAATGCTCATTTACAAAGAAAACACACACAATAAAGGCTTGAGGAATAAGAATAATACAACAAATTAAACTGAGAAGCAGAAGACCGAACTTTAGAAAACGAAAACGCATAAGGTCCTGTAGAACAGCAGAAATTACAGATGACTAACAAGTTGAGAAAAATACATCTTATTGTGAAGGTTAGAAAATAAAATCCACGTTAAAGGGGAGATCAGAGTGTGTCTAAAGGTACCACCACTATTTGTATCATGCAAACGAGGTATGTACAGAACTTATGCACTGCTGCAGCCATGGATACAACATGACCAGAGCTTGCAAAGGAGAGAAAATACTAGCAGACAGTCAGTGAATGCACACTGTACATCACACTGGGAAACACTGTACTTCTGGATTGGCAAGTTCAAGACATATGTACTTACTCTAAAGATACAGGGAATATCTTTTCGATTTGCATGGATGACATCAGAGGCCAAGACGGAACTCACTGAGAATTCTTCATCCCTTAGGGAGACCACAAACACCATTTAAATAGAGTTAAAGAGAACAAAAGTCTGTAAGTTTCTTTTTAACTTTCATTTCCATAGCACCAACAGTCTTGTTTTGTTAAGGACACAAGAAGATAGCACCGAGATCTAATTTTTAAAATAATTCTGACTTTCATCTATGTCTGCAGATATAACTCACAAATGTAATATAACATAATTAATTTCTGATGAAAGCTCACTAAGATAAAGCTATTCAGAATATCTGTTTTCGTCTCTTTACATTAAAAACTTTAGAAAGTAAACTTAAAAAACAGACCAGACCAAGCTCACCCCTCCCAACTCTTTCATAAAAATCTGCATTCACTAGAAGCTATAAATGACAGTGGTTGAGATTTCCTGAATAAACAAATCTAGATCTTCAGAGATGAGCTTTACTCTTAGTTGGGTATGCTGAATATCCTCAATCTCCAATGAAGTCAGCAGGCTTTCAGTAATTCAGAAGACAGACAGAAACAACCTATTCAGCCTTTCTGAATCAAAAACTGTATACGTTTTATGCTGTAACAAAGTTTTGTCTGTCTTTCAAAATTGCATTTGACCACAAAAGAAAGTAATTTTCTTCTTTACTCATTCCAGATCTTCCACATAGCTGGACAGATGCATTTAGGCACAAAAAGTAATAATGAAGTTAAAATTACCACATGTGAACACACGAGCGGAGTTTGGGCTAACTTCAAATACTGCTTTTTCTAGCAGAAGTTAGAGGCCCTGAACAAAGATTACAATGTTTCATACATGCCCTGGAGCTTGCTTACTGATTTTGCAAAAAGGAAGGGAGGAAAAAAAGTCTCCTAGTGTCCCTGAACAGCTCCCACTCAGTGCCAAACAGCTTACCTCATGTCAATAACCTGACTCACTATCACACTGGGCTGGGAGGCTTTTCCTTCTGCTACATCATACAGGAAGAGTTTGAAATCACAGATCACTGCCAGTGCTCTCTGCCAACCCTTCTTTACTCCAGCTGGTTTTGGTACCTTTAGCAAAACAAATTCTGATTAACTCTCTTTAAGCTTGTGTCCAATCAAAAATGAAACAGTGCAAATATCAATTCTCTCATCTACTCTGACAAGTTTGTGTTCAGTGATAACGTCAAGCAACACAAGCAATAGCACTTGTGCAGTAAGAACATAAAATACAGCTGTACACATACCACGACGTATTATTTAAAAATTCACAGCACCACAGATTCTCTCTTCTTAATTCACAAGCTCATTCAAATATATATTCGTAAAGATATGTTGAGAAAGAAACGTAACTCTACTTTGTCAGTGGGCACCTGGCTCAAACTACATATAGTAGCTTTTTAGTATTTCTTTACTAACATCCTCATTAGAAAAAATGACCCTAACCAGCACTAGGGTTAACAGAAAAACTGACTGGCCCTGGAAGACAATCGGATCTTGAGATGGTCTGTTCAAGACCTGCTCAAAAAACAATGGCTGACAGAGAGGGAGAGAGAATTACTTTTGAAAATGCTGGAGCTGCTTCATAAAGA